GACTAGGGATCGAAGTAACGTTTATAATAATCGTCCGATAAGGTGAGTCGTCGATCTGTTCATGTGATTTAATGATTTTTTTTAAAATGTAATTCTACAAAAACTACGAGTGTCTCTTTGATCGGTCATGTCGAGTTGGTTGAATTTTTAGAGTTTTCGTGATGAAAAATCATCTATGTTGCCCTCTGGAGGATTTTCGTTTCTCTTTTTCTCGTCACTTGTACTACTCATAATATATTTGATGAATTTTCATTTTTTAGTCTCGTTGAGAACCCAGAGAGGCGACTGAATGGAACGGGAAACATGCGAAGATTTGACGAAGAGGCCACAAGAAAGAACGAGAAACGTGGTGAACCGGCATCAAATCCGAAGTCTGTTTAGCAAAATTTAGGATCTTTCTGGAATTTTTAACGCGACATAAGACTTTTGGACATACGAATCATAGACGCGCTTGAACATCGCGATAATTGTTCCCATCATGCAATAATATACTTGAGGCTACAGTACAATATGTTTAGTCTTAGAATATTATGCTTGATACTGCCAGATTTGTAGTTGTGAACAAGAATTTCATCTTCAGTCTACATCGAATCGCAAATAGTGGTCATGTGAAGGCGATCGTGTCTTCGCTTCAAGATGTAAGCAATTCGAATACCCGAAGTCCGTCGTCTACTCCGATTATGACCCGCAGAATCCCATCGCTGATGAATTGTCAACGACAGACAAGTCTTGATCAACATTTCATACAGCAATGCAATACTCCTAATCAGCAACAACAACAACAGCAACAACAGCAATATCATCATTGTATGAAATTATTTTTAGCTTTCATCCAACTTTTTAGACAACTTGAGGGGTATANATTGTTTACAATAGGATGAATACAAGCGATTAAGTATAAATCACCAATAATAGTCACAAAAACCATCAACATGTGTTTCACGTCAATCTTTTACTCTCATTTACGTAACAGCTGTTACGTAAATGAGAGCAAAAGGTTGATGTGAAACACAGTGAAACGCACATTTTCAATACATACAAAAGGAATGAGAGCACTTCCAAAAAAAAGATTGCAAACTGCTTAAAGAATAACCAACTTTCTAAATTCAACATGATCATTATACAATAGTCAGGTTGATATTCTAACAGCGCTATGTACACAAACGAATCTTTCTCATCCATTCTTCAGCATTAAATTCATTGCAATGCACTTTTAAATCATCGAAATTTCCACATTTCTAAAAATCAAACACCAATTTCAGCATACGACTATCATAAGTATGATTGTCCACCGTCAAGAAGTAGTTTATCTTCTGAATATGCAGTGCTGAATTTGAAGCAGCCAACTAGCAACTATACAAATATCGAGAAGAAGCGGATCATGACCCCAAAACCGTCTCCGTTAGCGAACGGAACGGGTGCAGTGAGCTCACGCCTGAGAGTGCCCAGCACATGCAGTCCTACTCCTCAACAACACCATCATTTCCAGCAACGAGATTTTGTTGTGCAAATGGTTATTTTCTGATTCAGTTTCGTTGAAATTGTATTATTCTACTGAAAGTTGGTGGAATTTCATTGAGATTCGGTGACATTTTGAGAAATTCATCAATAATTTGAGCGATTCCGTGATTTCATTAGAAGAGTGGTATAGTTTTCTTGGAGATCGTGTACAGATGTTGATCTGTTCGATAGATCATTTGAGATCGCTAAGAAATTGGATTCTCTTGGCAATTCCAGAGTTCATGTTGTTCTCACGGAAATTTGGTTGCTTTCTGCTTTACTCTGTGTTAATGATGATCACATTGTCATTTTGAGTGAAAGAAAGACTGAAATATTTCATTTTCAGCGAAGAAATCCTCAGATTCCGAACAGTAATACCTCATCATCCCCACTGATCACATCGG